GAAATTTATACTTTACATGGATTCTCAACTTGTAATAGTTCTTTATGATTAAATAAATAAATGACACCAACCTGATTACGGGATTAAAAAAAAAAAAAAAAAAGTCTAAAATAATTAATATTATATAGTAATAGTTTAATAAACCTACTCTCTTATAATAAAAAAGTTAGTAAATATTTAAATTAAATAAAGAACATGATGATCTTGATATTAAAAATTCAAGAATTATATACAAATTTAAAAATAATTTGTTAATAGATATTTTGCAATATATATAGCTTTAATATAAAATCTTAAAGTTTAATATATTATTGTATTTATAAATTAATTAATAAATAAAAATAATAGTCTGATTAGAAACAAAAAATAAATAAATAATAAAATAAATATCTTAAAAAAATTTTTTTAAATTATATTTATCAATTAAAATATTTAAAAATAAGTTTCTACTAAAAAATTTATTTTAATAGAAAAGAACTGTTTTTATTATATTTAAAAATAATAAGATAAAATAATATAATAAAAAATAGAAAATATGATTATAAATTAAATTTTAATTAAAAAAATAATAGATTTTATTTAAAAAATATTTAAAAAAATATTTAAATTATATAATAGATTTGAATTATAAGAAAAAAAAAAGAAAACAGATCAATTTCAAGAAATATTAATATAATAAAAAATAAAAAAATAAAAATAAATAGATAAATTTAATAATAAATTATTAAATAAAATCATAGTAATAGTATTTTCAAGTTCGTTAACTAATTGTAATATTTTTATAAATATTTTTACCTTAAATTTGTTAAAATAAATAATAACAATAAACTGTAAATAGTAAACTTGAGTTTTTTTAAAAAAGAAATTAATAATAGACATTCAAATATTCAAATAGTTGATTAAAATTACAATAAATATTTGTTTAATTATGAAAAAATAAAATAATTAAAAATAAAATAAAATAATTATTGAATAAAGTAATATAAACTGTTTAATAATATCAATATATTAGTTGTATTTACAGTATTATATGGATATATTTTGTATCTTCTTGAACATTTAATATCATTTTAAAACGAATATGTGTATAAGAATTATATTATTTGTATTACATATTTATTTATAATATTTTAAAGAGAAAAATTAATAATTAAACTTTATAGGTATTATTCGTTCAACCACTTTTGTTACCAATTTAAAAAATTTTTTATTTGTAATGTACTTGGAAAAAAAAAAAGCAAAAATTCTTGACAACCCTACCAGCCTAAATAGCTTATCTATACAAAAAGATAATGTGGATCCGGCTTGATCCACAACAAATAATATGAAAGTTACACGAACCTGCATGTCACTTGAACCTAAAAACTAAAAGAAACGGTGATTTTAGTTAACATGATCAAATTATTTACATAATGAAAATTGAAAATCATTGATTCGAAGTAAATAGTCTAGGCTAACGTGTTAAGTTAAAAAAAAACCAATTTAAATAAATTCAAGAATCATTTGATAAAGTTGTAAATAAGTAAAATGATAGTGCAAAAAATTAAGAGACGTGCAAAGATAAGTTATTCGTTATACACCTATATATGAGGACGACCAGCCCTGGTTGAAGGGAAGTATCATAAACCGATTAGACCGAGATTTACACGAACATCAATGGATCACATAAGCTTGAGATCCATAGGCGGTGAGATTAATATGACATTATCATTTGTTAATTCTCGCTTAAAGGTTCCAAGATTCTGCGTAAAACGGTCCCGATTTTTGGAATTCAGGTTATAATCTACGTCTGTCATAAGAGTTTTAATGGCCTGTAAAGTGCAATGCATCAAAGTTGTAATCGCCAAATTTATATTATAATAATAATAATAATAATAATAATGATAAATGAAAATAACCTTTTGCAAGATTTCCCTTCGTTCAGGCAGTTGATGCCGTAACAAATTTTCGATATATTCATTGAAATACTTGAAAGAGATAATGAACATTTTATAGGAAGATGAGTTTTTTATTTTTATACAAAGGGAAGAAAAAAAAGAGCACACTTACATCTTGATTCAATAAAATTAAGCATAGTAATGGGCGAGATAGTGACCATTGGGTTTGCCTATCTTCAAAAAGAACAGCGTTAAAATTTGCAGTAAGCAAATAAGGTAGCACTCTTGGAAACTGGGTTAAGTATGTGAGAAGCCAGTGTAATTTAGTTTTCAACTTGGCAGACTGTTGGATAACAAAGGTACATATATGATCTATCGCTTCACTGGCAGAAGAACATTGAACACCATGTGAACCTTAATAATTAAGGGTAATATAATATGACGGTATCACCAACATTAGAAAGATATCTAACCACGAAAAGTTGTCATGATAATGAAAGGATATCAAGTGCCATAATGCATTCGGCGAGAGCTTGAATTATATATAAAAAATATCTTGAATCCATGTTCGGGAGAGCCATCATATGTTCATTTGTAAATGTGCTCAACCAATCAAAGAATGCCCTCGAGAGTTTCGGATAAACCTATGGAATATTTAAACGATGAACGATTTACCAAATGTACTTTGTGGAGAAACGTCAAAAAATTAACCCAATCCAACGTACTAAAATATCCTCCAATTCTACATTAAGCATCATTTCGAATGATGCGTTTAAGGCCACCTCAAGAGCCTTATCACCATACAATTCAAAGACACCAAAATTAACGTAACGACCGGAAAACGATTTTGTCAAGATGTTAAAGCAGATCGAAATTCCCTTATATCTAATAAAGCATGGAGATATTACGAAAATTGATGAACGTGTAAATGCACACACGCATATGAAATCACCTACTTTTCTGAATATTTATCATGGCCAACTGTAGGACGCAAGTTAATTTGTCGATCTAAATCATATGAAAATTTAGAATTAATTGATAACGTCAAAATTAATCTCATATCTAACCCACCATAAGTAGAAATCACTTTGCTGTTATAACGTATTTTTACGTGAATTATGGGGTAAGCGTAAATAGATCAATCAAATTAATGAAAATATCAATGCAATACAATGCAATAACCAATTATCGAAACTAGCCTTGTCTCACGAAATAATAATATGCCGTTAGGAGAAGATATATCGAAATCCAATCTTCGTGCTCGATTATTCACAAATTCATGGAA